TCGTGACCTGGCTGAAGTCGGACGCTTAACCGACTGCGCCACCCAGGCGCCCCTAAGTTTATTTTTTAAACTTTAAAGTATATTTGAGAGAGTGAGCAAACAGGGAAGGGGGAGAGGGAGAGGGAGGGAGAGAGAATCCCAAGGTGGCTCCATGCTCCACGCTGAGCGAGACACGGGGCTCGATCTGACGAGCCCCACAGTCTTTCCTTTACAATGGTTGTCTGGTGGGGGGGTGCCTGAGGTGGCTCAGTCAGTGAAGCATCTGACTCTTGATTTCTGCTCACGTCATGATCTCAGGGTTTGTGAGTTCAAGCCCCACGTCAGGCTGTCGCAGAGCCTGCTTGGGATTTCCTCTCCCTCTCTCTCTGCCCCTCCCCTGCTTGCTCACACATACACTCTCGCTCTAGCGCTCTCTCTCTCTCTCTCTCTCCCAAAAATAATAAAATAAAGGGCACCTGAGTGGCTCAGTCGGTTGAGTGTCCAATTCTTGATCTTGGCTCAAGTCACGATCTAATGGTTTGTGAGTTCAAGCCCTGCATCCGGCTCTGTGCTGACAGTGTGGAGCCTGCTTGGAATTCTTTCTCCCTCTCTCTCTGCCCCTACGCTACTCGTGCTCTCTCTCACTCTCTCAAAATAAATAAACTAAGAAAATACAATACAATAAAAACTTCAAATGGCGGCCCAGGAAGTACATTCTCAAGGATTGAGAGGAAATCAGGAAGTAAGCCAGGAAAAGAAATCAGGGGCACCTGGGTGGCTCAGTCGGTGAAATGTCCGACTTCGGCTCAGGTCATGGTCTCTGGGTTCATGGGTTCAAGGCCTGCATTGGGCTCTGTGCTGACAGCTCAGAGCCTGGAGCCTGCTTCCGATTCTGTGTCTCCCTCTCTCTCTGTCCTCCCCCGCTCACGCTCTGTTTCTCTCTCTGTCTCAAAAATAAACATTAAAGAAAGAAAGAAAGGACTTGTTTTGCTTCCCCCCATTCCTTTCCTTGTGTTCTCTGAGGATAGTAGACAGTTCCAGAGTAAAGAGGAAGGGGGACCCTTGCTGAAGGTCACCCGAGACCAGTCAGAGCCTCTGGAGAGTAGCGGCAGATAGCAAGTGGGTAGCAAGTACCTGATGGGGAGAACATCTGCTCAGAGCAGTCCCGATCCTCCCACCGCAAGGCAGCTCCTGGAGCCTCCAGCCACCTCCCCAGCCCGCAGGGCGCACGCAGGAGTCACAAAATAGCCTGGCCACGGGCGCACTGCCTGCTTGGCTTTCCCAGGCTGCTGGTTAATAACGTAGAGTCATGGCTGAAGAATGCAAAGTAATTGAAAGCAATGCTTCGTAAATTGCAGTTCCACGGGCTTCATTGCCTTCCTAACAATTTGCAAAACCCATTTCGTTGCTTTTTGCGATTCCTTGAATTGAAATGCCGCTGTGTGCTGTAATTAAACTAAGCGACACGCCAGCTGTAAAGACAAGGGTTGTGAATGATTACATTCGGCTCATGTAATCATCCAGTGCGGGTGGGGGAGGACGCTTGAGCCAGCTGCCAATCGGCCTGACTTCCAGTCCCTGCTAGGGTGGATGGAGAACTGCAATCTGCGGTTGCCCTCTTAAGGCTACGGAGAGGTTTCCCCGCCTGGCCTGTTGGAGGTGGGCTAGGGGTTGTCCAGTGTGGGGTGACCCAGAGAAGTGGTTCCCAAACACGCCGATGCATTAGAGCCCTCTGAGCGAGTTCTCTAATCCAGGTCAACACCCTCCAGGTCAACTGACTACTCTGGTTTTCGGGGGGGGGGGTGGTGGGAGCACACATATCTTGAAGCTGCCCCGGTGGTTTCTGAGCCTGGACAAGCTGCCCAGTCCAAGATGTCTATTTAAAAAAAAAATTTTTTTTTTAATGTTTATTTTTGAGAGAGAGACAGAGTGCAAGCAAGGGGAGAGAGAGAGAGAGAGAGAGAGAGGGAGACAAAGAATCCGAAGCAGGCTCCAGGCTCCGAGGGGTCAGCACAGAGCCGGACGCGGGGCTCGAACTCGTGGACCGTGAGATCATGACCTGAGCTGATCATGATCGGTTAAGGTCAGACCCTTAACCGACTGAGCCACCCAGGTGGCCCTACCCAGGATAACATTTTAGACCCTCAATATTCACCCATTCGACAAATATTTACTGAATTTTTAGTATGTCCTAGGCACTAGGCTAAAAGTATAAAGATGTAAAGATATGTAATCCCTTGGAGAGACAGCCATGGACACAAGTTCACTATCATGAGGAGAGTGATGCTAGTGATGGAAACAAGAGCCCCTGGATCTCCAATCTGGTCTCATAAACGATCTTTCCATTGTCACCTCCCACTTTCCCTTTCTGATGCAGCCAGATTGAACTAGACTTTACTTCTTTTTTTTTTTTTATTTTTTTTAACGTTTATTTATTTTTG